GAGGGGGGGGCGAAGGAGGTGCACGGAGCGCCGTCCACGAGAAGCAACACATCGCCCGGTTGCACGCCCGCCGCCGCCGCAGGACCCTCCGGCAGAACCTCGGTGACGGCGAGAACGCCGCGCGCTGCTCCCGCCGCGCGCAAGGCCGACTCGGCCTCGTGCGGCAGGCCGAGCCGCAGCGCCTCGTCGTACGTCTGGTGCGTCACCACCATCTCCAGTGTGCCGCGAGGCACTGCTGCGCCGGACCGCAGCAGCTCCAGCGCCCTCGCCACACGGTCGAGCGGGAGGAAGAAGCCGGCGGAGGTGCCTGACTTTCCTCCCGCGTTGAGCGCGATGGCGGAGCCCCGCTTGTTGAGCACGGGGGAGCCGGAGGAGCCACCGGAGGTGCCCGAGGCGGAGTGGAAGTAGAATGTGTTGAAGTCGTTGTAGCTGGAGCGCGAGTAGTGCGGCGCGTTCCTGTCGAGGCGCGCCAGAGTGGTGCGGTGGATGGAGCACTTCTCGCCGGCGTTGTTGCCGATGATCAGGATCTCGGAGGTGACCTCGGCTTGCTCTGGCGCCAGCCGTAGCTCGGTTGGCTTCATGTGCCGCAGCGCGGAGGGGTCGAAGCGGAAAAAGGCAAAGTCGTGCACCGGGTCGTAGTAGGCGAGAGAGAGGGAGACCTCCTCGTTGTTTTGGAAGATGGCCTCCGCCACCACGGGCCCCGGCCCGGCGACGTGCCGGTTCGTCAGGATGATCCCCTGCTCCGCGTCGACGACGAAGCCCGTCGCCTGCACTGTGCCGGCCGACGCGGTGTCAAACGCTCGGACGCGGTTCACCTTGATGGCGACGACGGCGGGCAGCGCCGCAGCGATCGTCCGGTCCCAGCTCTCCTCCTCGTCGCTCGATCGCGGCACCGGCGCACCCGCGGCCGGAGACACCTCGCACCGGGCCATAAAGCTTGCGGTGGCAGCGGCGGCCGCAGCGGCAGCGGCGGCGCCCACGGTGAGCGAAGGAGCACGACCCACCGCGCGAGCGGAAGCGAGCGGCCGAAAGGCCACCCGACGCGCCAGGCGGAGCATCGGATTGCCTTTCCCCCACGAAGCTTATTCGCGCGGGCCGGTTCCTGCGCGGCGCGGCGCGTTGAATTTTTTTTCGAGCTTAGCCTTCGATGTTATGAAAACACGCAAGGCGGACATGGCATATCGCTCTCGGGCTCACAGACATCCCTCACACCCGCCGCCCCCGCGCGCGCCCCACCCCGGCCGGGAGAAAGGGGAGTGACAGTTTGGGATGGCAACAGCCCGAGTATGTTGAGTCCTGGCTCAACAACGCAGAGAACAAGAGGGGGTGGTCCGGCTCACAAGTCCGGCTCACGCGCCTCGAGCTGACCCTCTACCGCACTGATCACTTCCGCCCCCTCGCTCCCAACCCATCCACCTCGCCTCGGGCCGCGCCGCGCGATCTCGGGCGATCTCGCGCGATCTCGGGCGATCTCGGAGCTCCACGCCACGCCTCTCCACCCCACCCCGCCTCACCCACCGCCGCGCCGCGCTATCTCGGGCGATCTCGGAGCGTCGCTCGCGCGGCGTCACACCTGCTCAAAAAGGAAGGAGGTTGGAGGCAGGAGGTCACGCCCCATCCAGAGCGCCGTCGTCTCCCGGCCGGAGCGAGCTCTCGACGCCGGAGCGCCTTTCTGCGCGCCTCGTGAGCACGCCGCCACAGGGGCGACCAACCGGCGCGCCGGCTGGTGCCCCGCTTTCGGCCTCGGTTTTGGCTCGCGTCGCCACGCCCTAGCGACGCAACTCCGAGCGGCCTCCCGGCTGGGCGGGCTGCACCTTTTTCGCAAAGCTGTCGGGCGACCGGCAGCCGGTGATCGAGAATGACGAGTACTGGCACGAGCACGTGGACACGCTCCAGTACGGCTCCTTCTCGTACACCGCGCTGCTCTACCTCGCCGACGGCCGCGGCGCCGACTTTGATGGCGGCGACTTTGTCTTTGACGCGTCGCACGGCCGCCCCGCGTCGCGGGTGGGGCCGAGGCGAGGGCGCGTCGTCGCCTTCTCGTCGGGCGCCGAGTTCCCCCACCACGTGGAGCGGGTGACGCGCGGCGACCGCCTCGCCGTGACGATCGCCTTCACGTGCCGCCGGGAGGACGGCATAGAGGACTTCCTCAGCAGGGCGATGGATTGATACATTGATACTCTGTGTGGCCTGTGGACTGTGGTGCACCTCGGGGCCTCAGGCACGCAGCGCGAGGCGGGCCCGGGAGGGGCCCGCCGCCGGAGGGTCTTGCACGTCGATCGCGCGCAGCTATCGAGCGGTCTGTCCCGTCTTTTTGTGAAAAGGAGGGGCGGGAGTTGCGACTAGACTTTGACATTTTTCACCCACGGTCTCACTTCTCGGCCCTTGCGCCGCCGAAAAAGGCTTTTAGCGGGCAGCGGTGGAGCGAGCAATAGCCGATTTGCGCCGCAGGCGCTCAGCGCCGCAGGCGCTGACGGACGCGCCACAGGCGCGCAGGCGGCGCTAAGCTGCAGTAGTGGAAGAGAAGGATAACAACAGACATCTAACACACAATAATAATATGCGGGTTGAAGGGGCAGATTTGCGCCATGGGGGTCTGCAGACCACCCGGCCGAACTTCAGAGTGGCGGTGCTCCTCAAATACCGCTCAAACGCCCACGATGTTGTGGAGGGGACATATGCTGATGATCCTGGCCCAATTGGTTCGCTCAGAAAGCTTCGGCATCTGCGATCTGGGCGGTCGTTAAGGTTCGCTCCCCGCACACACCGGCCCGGAAGATTGGTACCCTGGATGTGCATGTTAGTTGTCACGTATTGTGCCTTTGCGCTTTAACCCTGGGTAGAAAACTGTTCCTGAAGAGTACTGGTTGGCAAAACAGAAACGGCGGCGCACAGCTCAAGGTGTGCGCTTCTGCGCCGGGGACCATCCCGGCGGCGGGACGGCGGCCGACCGTACCCTCCGCAAGCAAGCGGCGTACGATGCCACCTCCGGCTGGAGGGCGGCACAGAGGAAGCTCGCCTTGCAGACGCCATAGGCGGCGTCGATCTCGTCGGCGCAGCGCTGGGGGCGGAAGAGCCGCCCGAACGCGGCGTCGTCGGCGAGCAGCCTGGCCGCCCACGCCCGCCACGCGCCTGCGGTGTGAGTCGGCGCCAACGTCGGGGTGTGAACACGGGGTCGTGCGGTGTACTCGGAGCGCCGCGCGAATCTGCAGAGTACAGTCCCCTCTCGGGTGCGCCCGCCGGAGTACAAAACCAAGCACTCAGCTCAG